AGGTTTACTGAATTGCTCTAATCATCTCCTTAATTTGAAAGACTTCTTAAAAGTCGTACGCACCATCTGGTCTGTACCTCCGCCCCATTTGAGTTTCTCTTGCTGTCTCGAAGAACCAAAAAATTTGATTTTCTTCAGTAGCTGAAGACTACCCTACCACCTAAACGAAATAAGCAACCGTTCAATACTTACTTGGAGCACTCTCATTCAGTGGTATCACGCGATTCTCCAACAAAAATGATATTTTGCAAAAAAAAAATACGTCCTTACACTTTCTCACATTCTGTATAAACGATCTCTAACAAAAAACTTGCCTAATGGTTGAAAATAAATGAAGAAATACCTCGGTTTATTTTCTAAGTGCACAAAAAATTATATGCTACACACTACAACTTTTACAGCGCCAGAAAAGTTGCCGATGCTCCCCCAGCGACAGACATGTTCCGTTACTGAAAACCATTCAGGAATTTGCCAAATATTCCTTTCAATAACCTTACCAACAACAAGAATTTCAATGCCGCCTTTAAACTTTTTTCGCAAATAGGTGGGACTGCTGAAACGTTTACTGTTTATCACTCAATCATAAAATCTTGATTTTATTCTTTATAGCAAGGCCAAAATAGAATGTGACTAAATAACTCACACATTAAGACTCAATACCAAAACGTCCCACCCTCATCTTCGGAACTAACTAAAATCTCCGTCTCCAGACCCTCAATTAATATCCAAAATGCGAAAAGCTCATGAGCCCTCTAAATAAAATGCATAAGGGCCCTCGACTCCTACTCTGCTCACTGTTTCCTTCCAGTGGCGTTTGGTTATATATGCAACTGTCAAAAAATTCCCACAAAAACTTGGAACAAACATCTCGTCCATTCCGAAACCAAAGACGCCCAAATATGAAGCAGGAAGTGGTCTTCTTAAACTGCCCAAAACTACTTCTAAGAAATTACTGTCATTCACTTGCCAATACGGAAATGTGTACCATTGTTCCTAACATTTTACTTATTACCCAATTACATTATAACCTGCACGCTGCGCAAACTCCAATAGGATATTAAAACGACCAAAAAAACAAGCCACTCTAATGCCATCATTTTCACCGACGAATTAGATCACCCGTACCGACTCGACAGCATAAAGTATTACTCATCGTCTATGCCGTCCTTCAATTATCAAATCATACGGCAGCAACTATACCAATAAACAAAATTTTTTCCACTACCATTAAAAACGCAATAAAAAAAACTCGAGTCAGAGTACGAAGTATTCTCCAACAACAATCTCCAAGTTTCTTTCCCAATGACAGCCTATTAAAACTGCTTTAATTTGTAACTCTGAAGGGGCACTTAGAGGATGCAGCGGTGTAAGAGCAGTGGAAATGGAAGTTAGACTATTGCAAAACCAAGTGAAACTTGAAACAGCCGCAGCCGCATAGGACCTCGACATGAGGTATATCATCGCACTTTCAACAATTTACATACAATGACTAGAGGAATATAACAATTATAAAGGCAAGGTAACAAAAGCGAAGGTAAAACCGAAGTAAAAATAACGACCAAGAACATGAAAAGTATAAACTGGAACAATTCCCAAAACCTTGACCTATAGATACCGATAAGCAACTTACATTATTTATAGTCGGACCATCTAGCAAATACATTATGCATAGTTTCTTAAATCTTACTAAATGAAAGCTAAATAGAAACAAGAAAAAAGGCCATGAGATGCTATGTGGCTCACAAATGTAAACGAGATCTTAAGGCACAAACTGAGAAGTGTAACCAAAAACAATAGCGTTTTAAGCTCAGATAAGCTTCCATGTTTCCAAATTCTGGAAACGGTTAACAGAAACCCAACTTTCCCTAGATTTTAGAAGACAACAGAAATCCACGTATAAAGTTCAAAGTCCGACTGCCATTCAAATCATAAATACTATAAGTTAGTAAGAATCGAACAAAATCAAACATAATACTACGAAGAAAGAAGGCAATACAAGAAATAATTTCAAAAATTGTGAAAATCACTGAAAAACCGAGTTGACCGATTAAAAGATGAAAGTAAATGACTTAAATAAAGCTGCCTACTAACGACGATATGATTATTACAAAAAAGAAAGACAAAATCCATCAAAATCTTGCACTTAAAAACACAAAAAATAAAGATCAGACCGAAATGAATCGAATTTATGCACATCAACTAGTAAGCCTCTAGAGCATATCATGTATATATGATGCATCGTAATTTCCAATAAGCATTTTTAAGAACGACATCTCTCGTCTTGCGTTATCAAACATAACCCGCGGGTCGTCGCTATCACATCGCAAAATATTAGGAGCTATCACCAACGCTAAGTTGCCACTGTCCATTTTGGTAAATTTTACAACTTCTTCCCTCGCCATTTGCTTGAAATGACCAAATCAATATTTGAAGAAAATCATCGAAGATCATAATTTGTAAACATAAGTGTCACCCAAAAAAGAAACGCTAGAAAGTTAAAAAAAACAGGTAAACATTTAAAAAGCCACAAATGGGAAAAAAATGTTCAGGGCCGCCCAGAGCTACGTCCAATAGGACCATCAAAATAGAACTAGCAAATAACTAAAACACTGAAATTCGGATATTTTTTAAAAAATTAAAAAAATTATAAAGATAAAAAAAAACGCAGTAGCAAGATCATATTAGATTCAAACAAAAACAGAAAAAACGATAAACAACCTTGACGGACATTAACAATTAAAACTTCTTGATTTCCCGCATTAAAAACCTTAAAAAGCTATTTCTAGGTATCAGTTCATAGAAGCATCAAAATCGGTATTGAAATCTTACCTGTAGCAAATCTAACAGTTTTACAAGAACCAAACGGTTCAAAATCGGTAAAGAATCAACAACACGGCAGCAATCAGAAGGCTGTTCAGATATTTCTAAACACTTCGAGTAAAGCGAAGTAGGGATAACTGGATCTGGTAAAGAGCGCAGCCACAGCTTTAGCAGAGACGCTGGTACATGAGCATCACGAACTACAGGAACAACACCGCGATCCAATCGTAAACGCGCTACAAGTATTAAGGAAAAATCAACAAGATAAATAAAAAATTCTGCCGTATCGTTTTCCGTAAAAAGAGTTTACCGGTGTTGACGTGGTCTGGATTGGCAGCAACTCTGAAGATCCCTTCAGTATGTTCACCATCCGAAGACAAGATTAGTTCTATTAATGTTGTTTCAATCCACGGTATTTTCCTAAAAAAAAAAAAAAGAAAAAAGTAAGGCAGTTTAGGAAAGTATGTATAAAAACCTGGAGATAGCAAAATTTATCTGTCCTTCAGGATCTAAAAATGTAAAGAACATAAAGGAAAGTACTCTGCCAAACCTTCCAGGAAACTTTTCAGCTTGCATAACCATTAAATCCTCTAGAGATGCAGAAAACTGAGGTGGGCTAAATATGTGTACACGAGATTCTTGAATCCTTTGCATGTTTGGTTCCCGCTTTGCCTGCGCCGATCGCAACCGTCGAGAGCACTGAATAGCGTACTGAGAAACACCAATCTAGGTTAATTAATTAATAAAACAACGATATTAGCGGGTTAAAAACAAAAATAAAATTGAAATTAAAACAGCCTAAAAAAAATTTAAAAAACCATTTAAAATAGCAGAACAGCAAAAAAAAATAAAAAAAAAAAACAAATGAAATTACAGAATACCTCAGAAGAATCTGAAGAGCGGTCCGAATTAAGCTCAATAAATGCTGTCAAAGTTTTCAATACGTCTTCGTTACGAGGAATAAAAAAGGTCAAAAAAATTGCAAGAAGCTCCCAACCACGACGAATTGAATCATACTTTTCGTTCCCGCTTAACTGTTTTATTAACTGGCAAAATAACTCATCTCCAATAGGTTCTTTCATGTAACCCGCTTCGCAAAGTGACAAAGCCAGCTGAAAGAATAAGTATAAAAATAGGAATTTAAGTAATGAAACTAAATTCATCCAGCCACATATTTTGATAAAACACTAACCTGATTAGGTGAGAGTTTGCTTTTACGGTCCCCCATATAACATTGAACAACCTTGAACAGAGCCACTGCTTCTTTTTTAAAATTCTTCTCAGCGCTATCCGTTAATGGCTGTTTAATAGCATCTTTAGTCCAAGTTTTTGTTGAGCCATCTAAGTTAATACTTTTTAGGAACTTTAACCCGCTGACAGCAGTGTCGTCCCTTGATGCACCAGGGCCATCAGCAACTTTTCCACGCATGCACTCTGTTGCATCTGACACTGAGCCTTTACGTGAAGTAGTAGGAGACGAAGTATTTAGTGGGCTATAAGATTCTCGAGGTCTCCTAAAAGACCCCGTGTATGCAAATCCACCTTCTCCAATTGAAAGGTTTTGCAACATTAATTCCAAATCAATGGCCACCCTCGCCCTGGCTTTCTTTGTTAGTTCTCTTCTCGCCAAATCAAGGGCTTCATCCTCGACTGGAAATCGCGCACTGCCCGAAGCACGAGGAGCAGAGGGCTAAAAAACAAAAATAAAATAGATTGAGGAGTAACAATTTACAGAGCATGAAAAAAGTTGAAATACAGCAACAGCTGAAAAAGCTAAAACAAAAAATAACTAAACAGTCCCGAAAAATTTAAGGAAAGGGTAATCATTAATTTTATGAGACAGATGCTTTGAAAAGCATAAATGAAATATAAGTAAAACTTTTGCTTCGTTTTGGCTTGGATCATAATTAACTTTTTTTTAACACGAATCGCACGAATGTCACTAGAAAACTGTTTTTTTCTCCTTTTCTGAGAAATGAATGAAAAAGAGAATGGTACGCAGACTCGTCTGTTTTTTTAATAGTCAACGTGCTGTAAAAGTGAATATTAAAGCTCCAATGTTATTTTACAAATGACAGACTAGAAATAAACCTTATCTGGACGCATCGAATCAGCCAGAAAAGAATCACTGTTGGCACTGCTGCCACCTAGCTTTGACGAGTTGCTGCTTCCAGACGGTAATGCCGGGAGAGAATCTAGAAGAACGTCCGAAACAGTTTCTGGCAACTCCTGTATTACTGCCGCCGCACGAACTAATTGCGCTGCAGCGCTTGAATTCTTTTGCAGCATCTTCTAAACAAAATTTCTAAGTCCCACTGTTTCCGCTGTTCAAATTCACCTTGAATCAACACTAAAAAAGATGATCTTTGAGGTTATGAAACACAATTAAGACATTCCGAAACAATATGGCGATATATAGTGGAAGCTTATATGGCTGTCTCCGCTATGTAAAAAGAGTAGCACTACAGGAAACATGAAACCTGAGAAGAAACTTCAGCTACTGTACTGGTTTCAAATGGAGAAAATTGTGTGGATGAAGGTTGCTCAGTTTGAAGGGTGCAGGGCGTTTTTGGAAATGCTCCCCGACAAGCAGACACAAGTCCAAGATCAGGAGAAGCGTTCTAAAAAAGCGACTAGAGTTTAAATGTATTGCTTGATTAAAAGGGATCTTATCCCGCCACAACCAAAACTGGAATATCAAGAGCGGCAAGAGATGTCAAGGCTTCCTAAATTCATAGAGACGAAAGAAATAAGTTAAAAGAATTAGATACGTGCAAAGCATGGGTCGTACCTGTGCATAAACTGCACCACTTAAACCACGTGTAACACCTCTTCTTCCATGTCTAGGAGATGTCTGGGTTTCTGAATTTTTTTTCGTGGTTTTTACCTTTTCTTTAGGAAGGTTCGTGCCACAGTGATCTCCATGGTCAGAAGATGACTCAGTATTATCTTTTAAAGACTACAAGAAGAAAGAATAAATTTAGCCAACTTTTAGTGGAAGTAAGAAATCTTTACTGCGTTGGCAAGGTAAACCTGTAACTTAGCCAATGGTATAATATCGGAATTACTAGGACGCTGCCAAACTGTCTTCCCAGAAGTTGCATTATAGTAATAAAAACGCTGCGTTTTAGGATCAAACAGCTCCCACCACTGATCCGGATGTGCTCGTCTTCTATAAAGCTGTATTTGATAAAAAAGTAACATTTGTACAATTAAAGCGTTTTAACACTTTATCAACAAAGGAAACCAACATACACGTGCACTCCAGCAGGCGGTTCCCAAGCACATTCACCCGTTCGCAGGTTAGCGTACATATGCTGTTTCGTTTCTGGCTCAACAATTTCAACCCATTCGACTCTACGAATGGTCAAAGTCAAAATAACAAAATTCATTGAAAGATTTGCCGAACCTGCTTGAAATGTAACTAGTACTTCAGGACTTCGGCACAAAAACTCATTACGGCTGACACCACCCTACAGTATATGACAAAGTAAAACTCAGAATGGTGAAATTCTCACGATAAAGAATATCCTGTAATTAACTGTCACCACCGAAAAAAGATTACATGGCAAAAATTTAACATACCAAAGATAAAATTTTTTTTAGAATAGAGTTGTAAAAAAATACTTTACAATGCTTTGAAACTTGAAAGTCATTTTCTCAAAAAAATTAATGAGATTTTTCTCACAGTACCCCTAAATGTGATAAAAGATAAGTCAACAAACAGAGATGACTACAAAAACACGCTAAAGTTACCCGCTACTATCGTCCTTAACAGACTGATTAGTCTCATTTTCCATCAGAAAGCCACCACCTGTAAATACAACCGCGCTGAGCTATAAAGTGAACAAAATCAGACCAGCGCAAAGTAAATCATACTTCCTGTTCAAAAAAAGCAAAAAAAATATTGAAAAAATTAGTTGAAAAGATAAAATTCCAAACAGAAACTAGAAAGCAGAAATTCCAGGTGAAATAAAAACCAAGTTCATGACTAAAGTTAGGCAATAACTTTTCGACAAAAGAAAATTCTAACTATTTGTAACAAAAAAAGAAAAAAAAGAAAAAAAAAAA